CTTGGGAGGGCTTCTTCTAAGGCCCTGTGTGACCTGGCCCTGGAAGCACCTCCACATCAACCCTACCAACTTCCTCTTTCCTTTCCCGAATTCTGCTCTTCTTCTAATGCGCCAAGTCTGCTCCAGCTCCAAGCTCGGGTGTTTGCACCTGCTCTTCCCTCTGCCTGGGACTCTTCACCAGAGTCTTGTCCGGCTCATTCCCTAAAGTCCATTCAGGCCTCTGCTCACATGTCACCTCTCAGAGAGGCCTTTGGAGCACACCGCAAGCGTCACTCTCCATTTCCTTACCCAGCTTTATTTTCCTTCATGTGATTTTTCATGCCATCTGACTTCATATTGTAGCCATGTGTCATTTCTCTCTCTCCTACCAGAGGGACCACGCTGTGAGAGCTCAGACCTCATCTGTTCTATCATCTGCTGTACTGCCGTATGTGCCCTAAGACAGGGGCTGGCACACAGTGTGTGTGTGTTGAATGAATGCCTGAACTCAGTGAGCTGCTTAGAACACAACTACACAGGCCACAATCCCCCAGCCCCATCAGACACCTTCAGGACTCAGGGTCTCACCCTGACATGCAGGGCCTTCCTGGACCCTTCCAGTTCCCCTCCCAAGGTGCTCTACATGTAACCTCTGCCACTCCCAAACCAGCACGCCCTAAAGCAACCTGACTCACTCTGCCTCCCCCTCCAGCCTATGCTCCCTTCTCCCTGACAGGAGCTCCCAAAGAGCCCTGGGCCTTCCTGGACCCTTCCAGTTCCCCTCCCAAGGTGCTCTACACGTAACCTCTGCCACTCCCAAACCAGCACGCCCTAAAGCAACCTGACCCACTCTGCCTCCCCCTCCAGCCTATGCTCCCTTCTCCCTGACAGGAGCTCCCAAAGAGCCCTCCCTGCTCTGAGCCTCCCTGGCACTCCAGCCTGGGCTCCAGACCTGGCACAGGGCCCATGCTGCTCAGCCGGGAATCCATGGTCAGTAAATATTTGTTGAGTGATGGTTGTTTGGGTGTAAGTGCTCCCCCAGCACTTGCATGCTGCTATGTCCACCACGGTGACTACTGATTGAGACGGTGTGACTAGGGGACAGCATCAAGGGCCAAAAGGACCTTTGGATGGGATTTGGTGTTTCTGGGAAGGGCAAACAGCCTCAGATAGCCAGAGGCACAGCTTCCTACAGTTTCCTCCCCAGCAGATCAGAACTACTTCTGGAGGACAGGCAGGCATGGAAATGAAAGACGTGAGTACAACAGCTGCCACGTGGAAAGTTTGACCCAGGCCAGCCAGATCAACCGAAGTTTTCAAGAGGAGCAGGAAATCCACATGTGAATGTGAAGTCTGCCATTTCAGTTGGCCATTAATTCAAACTCACTAGCTGGGCACGACAAAACACATGGCCGATTCCAGTTCATGCCCCTTGCCTATCTGTTCCTGATGCTGTACTCTTCTTCAGTTTCTGCCTTTCCAGCATTCAACAAACACTGCCTGAGCACCTGAAGCATGCCCAATAACGGGCTAGAGCAGCCTCCCCATCTGTGACTCCAAACACCAGGATTGGCTAAACCTGTGAGGCCATGGTGGCCCAGGCTGGCCCAGAAGTACCACCTTGTCCTTACCTTCATTGTGCTGAGCTCTCCTTCTCTCATCTCTAGGTGTTCTGGTTCCATCAATTTTTCTAGAGGAGGGAAAAAAATGGGCACATGTTATCTCAGGCCCATTTGTCCAAATACTCATTAAACAGACTGGAAAATTATCTTTGCAAGATAAATCCGTGTGCAGAAAAAGGGAGGAAATGGTACTTTCTTCAATTGTACTAGAGAAACAGAAGCAAGCCAAAAAATACACCAAGTGCCTACAGTGTACTGAACTGCCCAACTTCTATTCCAGAAAACTCTACCTTCCTTCGACCCCAATACCAGGCCCTCCCAGTGTCCCCTGCGCCTGGGACCAAGTCTCCTGCACGTACGGGGAGTAGGGGTGTGTCCGGGGTGCAATTGTCCTCTGTGTTCCTGTCTGAAGCACGTCTTGGGGTGTCATCATAACATAGAACTGGCCTGCAGGGAAAGTGGGGGTCAATGCAAAAACAGGGCAGAGTCGGAAGTGGTTGGGGGCTTCCCTCCCTGCTAGGCCTGTTGCCGCTCCTGCCTTCCACCTGGCCCCTTCCTCTTCTTACCTCCTGCTTGCAAGCTCTGGTCTGTGGTCTGTACTGACACAGCCGTGGTATCTCCCACACTGGACGCTGGGAAATAGGCAAATCGTGCCTCCCCACTGACAGCCTCGGCCGCTGGGCTGCCGCCATTGCTGAAGGGATTTTGGATTACAGCCTGGGAGTAGGAGGACACAGAGTCCGCCCTTAGCCATCTCTGTTCCCCCCATCCCATTCTCTTGTGGCTACGTTTGACGTTATTGCATCTCTGTGGGGGGTGAGGAACCTCTCTATGTGTAGCATTCTGTCCTGTGTCTCAGACAGCCCAGGAGCTTTCTGCAATCACTTTCTGAGCCAATCCACCTCTAACTCTGACGTTCCTCTTGAGATATTATCCCCATTTTATCAAAAAAAGAAAAAGAAAAAAGTGTTCCAAGAGATCTCACCCAAAGTTTTTCTGTGCACAAGAGATTTGATCCCACACTGCCTGATGGCCTGAAGACACCATCTGTGTGCCACCTGCTCCACCCCCGGGGCTCCCCAAGAGCAAAACCGGTGTCCCCTCTCCATCCCCCCAGGGTTTGCTGGGCACCTACCAGCGGGAAGGGCGCTGCGGGACCTGGGGGCACAGAGGCAGCAGCGGGGCCCGGGCGCTGGGCTGCCCCGTCCACACCCACCTGGGTCACAGCCTGCTGCCCCCCCGCGAAGGCAGCTGTAGACACGACGCTGACGGCGCCAGCCGTGTCGCCCTGGCCGTCCAGCTGACCATCAGTCACCTGGACTACGCGGTATGTCACCTGCAGGGGGCGGCAGAGTGGCGAGACCGGCGCTGGGGCCAGGTCCGAGCCTCTCCCAGCCCGCCCGCTCGACCCTCCGTTCAACCCTCCGCTGACATGCCGGACTCGCTCCCTCACCTGTCCTCCATTATTCTCTGTGCGGAACTGGTACTGGATGTTGTGGTCGCCGAACGCCGCCTGCTGGACGCTGGCGATGGCCACCGCCGTTTGCTCCTCCGCCCCAGAGCCGTCCCCGCCTGCGGTCGGAGGAGGGTAGGGGGGATGGTCAGCGGTCGCGCCGGGCCAGGACGCCCCCAGCTTCCTCCCCGGGTGCGGGCCGCAGCCCCGGTGGTCCCCGCAAGCACTCACCTTCCTGCAGCTCGACGCCCTCCTCTGCCTCAGGTCCCTTGTCGTGGCTGCGAGGACAGGAAGAAGAGCGGGTCAGAGCCGCTCGCACCCCCGCCCCTTGGCCCAGGTGCAGGCCCCCATCTCGCCTGGCCCGGTCCGGGCTGGGGGCACCGCTAGGGCCGGGAACTGGGGGCACTAGGCTCCGGGTCCCCCCTCCCTCGCGGCCTCCATTTTGAGCTGGGCCGGCGGCCGCTCGGGATCATGGCGGCCCGGCCACCAGGCCGAAAGGCCGGGGTAGGGGCTCGCGGGGGCACGGACCGGCCGGGCGCTCTTACCTGGAGGCGGCAGCAGCGGTGGCCGAGGCAGCGGGATCCAGACCCGGGTCTAGCATGTCCATGGGGGGGGTG